TCAATTAGAAAAACCCGTGAAGGGTTTCAAGAGTCGGTGTTTGGGGTCTTGCCAGGTTTTCGCAGTAGGGGGCGACGAAGCCGTACGTGGGCACAGCAAGGCTCAAAGCATTTTTTATTTTTTTTTATTTCTTCTTTCGTACGAGTTCATGAAGCTCGTCTTCGCCAGGCAAACGTTTTAAATAAATATAATAATAAACGTGACATGATATATATTTCTTCCGTTTTGTCTATCAGACACGCGAACAACTACAAAAAAACGTGTATTTTTCCACAAAACTAAAATTGTTGACTTGATTAAACTGATATTTAAAGACATACCTATTGGATGCCGCACAATTTAAAGATTCTGTTATTTTTTATTAGAAAGAACAAACATTAATGAACTTAATAGTTCATGAAACCATATCATTAGATGCGGATACCTGATGCACAAATGGAAAATTAAAAACTCTCTCCAGCAGTGTGTGACTGTGGTCATCCAGGACAGATTGTATAACATACTAGCAGAAGTACCCAGCATTGCCCGGGTGAAAAATATATTTCTTAATAACCCCCCCCCCCCCCCCAGCCACGATCTCCTCGGCCGCTGTGCAGTAATATGTACGGCCTATAGTGTGGTGGGGTGTCGAGGCCTAGTACCGTGCAGAGCCTCCGGCCTCGCCTAAATTGCCCACCCGGCTGAGGCTGGGTACTGGGGCCGTTACCCCCCCCCCCCACCCCCGCGCATCAATAATACTGTCTAATCGCTATAATTTTATTATCTACCGACCCTATAATAGTAATTGCACACATTGGGGTGGGGGGGGGGGAGTGAAGAGGACGTGAAACTTTGATGAATTTACCTCAGAGTCGCGTGTTAATGCGTGCGCATATTTTTAACGGGAATTAAAAATGGCGTCCACCCCGCAGCGAATGCGTCGCTACCCGTTGCCAGGGGCAACCGCCGTGGAAAACCAAATGGACCAATCGTGTCTCGCAAATCCCTCACATTTCGTCCAATGAAACTGCGTATGGTCCGGCGACACACAGACAGACAGACACACACACACACAGACAGACAGACAGATTTGCGATTTTATATTTATATATATAGATAACCACGCAATTCCCGATCCGCAAATACGAAGGAGGCATCACAGCGATGATCCACTCCGCTGCTCCTGACGCTGTTATCTGGCTTGATAACCACCTGCATGAGAGATTGTAGTTGTGGCTGTGGATCTACATCAGCAGCAGTAAGAAAGAAGAAACGTCCATTCTAGATTTGAAGCTTTCGTGACTGCAAGGATTCATACTCTTATGTGTTTTCGGTAAAGTTACGTCGGTAAAAAAATAATAAAAATAAAATAATAATAAATGAAAATAAATCAATTCAATCACGACATTTAGGAGGCAACACAAGCTTCCTCCATCAGGTGTAAAAAAGGCACAGCAAAATAACTGTAGCGAGTTATTTATCAAATAACTCTCGCTACCGTTATTTTGTGTTGCCTCCGAAACGTCGTGATTTAATTGATTTATTTTCAATTATTATTTTATTTTTATTATTTTTTACCTACGTGACTTTACCGAAATAAACCTAAGAGTAAGAAGCGTCCAGTCCAGCGATGGGTTGGATTGGCGTCCTGCAGCGCAAGTGTTGCCGCAGGTGAATGAGAGTTTGCTTGGCGCTGCTCTTATCAAGATGAAATGTAGTGATTGTTGTCCTGTGGAGATGAAGCTTACGCTCACACGTTAAACAAATCAGGAGGGGGGGGGGGCAATAATACTTATTAATGAATTAATACGAATAAATGTGCCTGCTCTTGGATGAGAAACGTGGACATTAATGAAAAGGTTTGGAGAGTTTCATGCTTGGAATTACCCGGAGCTCGGCGGCCCCCAGAGGGATAGAGAGCACGACCTGTACAATGAGAGCACGACCTGTACAATGAGAGCACGACCTGTACAATGAAAGCACGACCTGTACAATGAAGCACGACCTGTACAATGAGAGCACGACCTGTACAATGAGAGCACGACCTGTACAATGAGAGCACGACCTGTACAATGAAATCACGTGAACGAGGACTCCAGAAAGTCGCTGAGCTCAAAACGCCAAGCGACCAGCAAATACATCAAAGCTCCCAGTTGCACTAGACGAGTTAAAGCGTTCCTTCAAATGAGCAAGATTATACGAGCTTGGGGAAATAGAAAGCGCCAACAAATTCCAAAGTGGAGCAGTGTGAGGGAGGGAAGAAGTAGAGAGAGAAGTGTTTGCTGGTGGGGCGAATCCTCAACATGGTGGGGAGGGAAATCGATGAGTGAAGGTCACGGGATTAGTAGCCTAGCAGCTATAGACGAGGAGGCTGACCGTCGATGAGCAAGTGCTGAATCATCGATCACCCTGACTGCCACTTACGTTGAATTACATCCGGTGAGGTAGGGAACTTGGGTGGTCCTCCCCAGATATGACGAGATTCTAACGTGGACCGAATCTGTGCTTTGTTTCGTGGTGGTTATATTTGTTCAGTTAAAGAGGCTTTAAGCACAACCTCTTTAAGCCAGATTGTTGTGTCAAGCAGCGTAATTGTGTTACAATGGATAACACCAATTAAATGGTGTAACTCTAGAATTACCAGTCCACTGAGATGCATTTGTAAGTTTTTTTTAATTCGGTAAGAGAGATGAGAGCTATCGACAGTAGCACCATCTCATAAACGAACTCTCCACATTAAGAGACTGCTGGTCGAGTTAAGTTTCCCAAAAGTGCTGAAATTAGGGATAAAGATTTACAATCTCAGGAGTGTTCATGTTGATCCCGACTCTGACGCCTGTATATTTGGAGTTTGCGTGTCTCGCTCTCTCCATGGTCGTGTGGGGTCTTCTCCGGGTCCTCCGGATTTTCCCTCCACATTTAGAATCAACATCACGCGTTTAGAGCAGAGATGTTAAATACCCGGCCCCCCAAGCCCCTTCCCCTGGCCCACCACGTGTTTAAAAGTTGACTTACTTATTGTTTTTATTCTTTTTTTATTTTAAGCTTCTACCTAAATTCAACCTGAATTTAAATCGTAAATTGAAACGGATTTGGCGCAGCCTTCCGCTAAAAAGGACTGTAAATCGTATATTTTACCGCGCATTCTAAACCATCTCTCGATGCCTTCACATGGACATCCACCCTTCCCCAGCCGGCTCACCCACTGTAATGTCTGCAGACCCCCGCGTCCTCTCCACGACCACTTTATATGGGCGATAGACATCCGCGGACGTAGTACCCTCCCCCGCCGCCCGCCCTCAACCACCCGTGTCCATAGAAATCCGAGGAAGTTCCTCACGCTACTTCTACAGTCCTCGACTTGCGAACGCGATACGTTCCTGAGAACCGTTAAGTCGATGTGTTCGTATGTTGATTTCTAGATGTAGCTGCTCACCCCGAGCTCTCAGTGTCCTGATATGGAGTCTTTGTGCTGTTCAACTTTTGGCGTCCTCTGGTCTAACACCGTTTGAGATTTGGCTCTGAAGAAAGCTGTCTCTGGTGTGGACCAATCAGTTTCAAAGACAATGCATCAAATACTACCAAAGCATGTTTTTGTTTGCATGTTCACCACAAGTATGTGGTTCATGCAGACATGATTCCTTGCAAAAGGTTTCTGTTGGTTATTTTAACTTCTTAACACAACTTTTATTGCCAAAGGGTAAAACCTATTATTATATTTTGATATTGGCAAGGGAGGTCCCATGATCATATAGTTGAAGAAAGGGAATAATTTTCAAACTCATAAATAAGAAATATTGCAGTTACATGTAACACAGTAATATACTTTAGAAAAAAAGTGTCACGTGGAAAAAGTAATATTTTAACTTACCTCGAATCAAACAATTTACTGTCATTGTATATTATGTAATTGTGTATTATGTAATTGTATATTATGTAATTGTGTATTATGCGGGATGCTGAGACTCATTACATCTCGCGGAGGATCGCTCCGCCAACCAAAATAGTTGCACGGTTGGGTTCAAGAGTACGACAGGACATTCTCAAGTCAGGTGGTTAAAAAAATATATATCTTAGAGCGGTTCGTTCGTAAGTGCAGATGGTTCCCAAATCGGATCTTCGTATCTCGCTACCTATACACGTAAGCTCTACTGATACGATTATCCTTCAATCACTCCAGCAGCAAAATCCATTTCAATTCAAAATTAGAATATGGGATAATAAATGTTTTTGAACTGTGATATGTCGAATAGCCCAATTGTTATCAAAGGCAGGTCAATAAAGTGTAGAGTTGTCCAAGTGGAGGAATTCACATTTCTTTGTGGAGGTTAATGGAAAGCCAAGATCTGCGCACAGCAAATAAAGGTAGCAAGAGCCCAGTCACTTGTTCCATACTTCGATGCATTCGTCCAGAGGTGTGAAGCATCAGGACGCAAGCAGCCGCAGAACTGAAGAGCAATACAAATCATTGTATTCAATGTTTTTTGACATTACATGGGTTGAACTGAATTTAACTACCCTTTTATACAGCCAGCCAATTCATGCCGTGTTATGTTTTTCATTTTCAAAGCCCAACTGTGCCCCCGGGAAAGAACTGGCCCGCTATCCGATTGAGTGACATCCCTGGTTTAGAGTACAGTATTTGGTGCTGTACATTTCCACATAAGCCACTTAGTTGAGCTATTTGTGGCCAGGTCGCTTCTGAAAAATAGGTGAGTCGGCTTTAGCTGGTAAAATAAAACGTTCATTTTGTGGATTTATTTTCATGCTAACCTTTCCGATACTTTGCACTCCTATTGTATTTTTGTAGTTTGTTGTAACCTTTTGACCCACCTCGACTGACATCTGTAAAAACAAGTTTCTCAATGGTAAATAAGGATTTTGAGTCAATGCATTTTTTGCAAGCAGATTGTGTACCAAGGGAAGAAATGTCAAGCGGCCATGACAAGGCAGCATTGTTCGAGCCTTGATGGAAGCACGAGGAATACCTAGTTTCAATTGTGACCACACACAAGAAAACGCAAGAATTTTAAGACTTTATTTTTGAAATGTGTAAACAATTACAGCAAAAAAAAACATTTAACTTAAACTCTTATGATATAACTTCCACTGGTTGGCTGTTTTAGACAGTAGCCTGCTTTGATATGGGAAGTGTCCCCGAGTATAAAAAATAATCAGATCAAGTTGTTTTTATTCAAGTATTAAATTGCGTGTTATTTATTGTATAAATTGTGCGTTGAATATGCATAATTGTTTGACGCTATAGTGATGAAAAATATCAAAGTCTGTGCCGTTTGGTTGCCCTAGTGGAAGTGGTGGGTGGTGCTGTGTCCTTGTCCAATCCTGGCCCACAAACTCCGTAAACATTTTTTAAGATAACGGAGGATAACAAAACATGATGCACAAAAAGCTATTCTTTCTCGTTTAAAATAACAGAAGTTTAAATACGTGAAACATGTCCATGTAAGTCTTTATGAAATTACTAACATCTATGCAAGTATTTTTGTTCTTTCAAACATAACTAGTGCGTGAAACTTGGAAAACTGTAAAACTATTTGTAAAACGTACAACATGCTTATTCTAAGGACTGTTTTCTCAATTTAGCTTAATGATTCTGAAAACCACAAGTGGGTAAAATTAAGCCATATTACAATCAAATCCTGACTACCATCGACGCATGATGAGATGTCCCAGGTCTCAATGAAAAGTGAGCACGGCAATAAATTAGCATGTGCGTGGAGGGAAATGTGTGAGAGGGTGCTTTGTGGTTAGTCGGGGATTGGTGCCACTCAAGAGTTAGCATATGAACACGAATGCATTGGTGAGGGAGGAAGTGCTCTCGTGTAAAAGGAGGCGTCATTTAAGACATGTGAAGTCGGGGTTCCTCGCGAGGAAGTGCTGAGGACACAGGCGCGGCGATGGCTCAGATGGTTGTCTCCCTATGGCTTGGTGTACGTGCCCCAGAGCTCACTGGCTCGGTAGTGCTGGTCGGAGATGCAATGGGGAAACCTGGGGACATCTCCCGAGTAGTTGTTGCAAACAGCACCTCCACCTGCAGCACACACACAGAGCGGTCACCGCCTTGCAATCCGTGCTCGTTTCACAGGCGGTGACGCGTCCCGTTTTCCGCTTGTTGCAGAAGTTCGTGGTTAGAACCCAGCGGCGACCCTGATTGTACAAGCATTCCCTCGTTATTTCGCGAGGGATACGTAGAGGATGCTTGTGAATAGCAGATTTTGCGGATATTGACCTACAAATATCATACACGCAATTTCTGCAAATGCTTCTAAAGCTGCAATAAGTTATCTTTCTCCATCTCTCATCTCTTTTTTCCATCACTTTCTTTCTCTCTCGATGCAATCATTCAGAGTTCCAGAGGCAATTCGCAGATAGACAAAATCGGGGATAGCAAGTTCATGAATGAGGGAATACTGTATTACTACGTATTATTACACGCCGTCTACCTCAGTGGACTTTAAAGATACCCTTATGTAATTAGCAAGAGTAGGTGATTGTGTGCAAGCATCTTCAGGAGGCGTTAAGTTCATCTCGTCATAGTTACGGTCAACAGTTGCGGTCAACAATGCTTGACTCAGGGAGGACGCCCCTGCCATGCATAGTCCCATGGGATGTTAGCTATCAACAACAAGGCAACTCATATGACTAATTGGGAATGGGACGCAAGCGTAGGATTGATCACCCTGTCGCTGGCCGCCTTTGGGGAGGGTGTATAGTGTGAAAGGCCGAAACACCCTGGGAACCAAAGGTACACTACTGACGATGCGCTCCCCAAATTTCACCAGGCTCACTGTTCATGAACTCTTGGAAGTGCTTGCACAAAGGATAGTAACATCTAATCCTGTGTTCTTGGAATGTGAAACACATTTATTGTCATCGTCGGCACACTTGAATTTTACTAGTATTTGCATCGCTAATTTAATGAATAAAATTAACATCGCTTGTAAAAATATTCAACCATGTCGCACGAATTGTGCTTTCCAACGGTAAGTGGTACTTTCTGGGGCAAACATGAATATTTATTGTAGATTTATAGTACCACTTGTGCTTACTGGCACCAGGTCATGAAATGAATACATTTCCATTACGAATTCTCACAGAAGAGTAAGCCCCGGTGACTCGAAGAGGTCAGTTTGCCAAGCTGGCGCCACTAAAATCCTAGGATAAAATCCAGGCATCAGCCATCTGATTAATTATATACTGGGTTCTCGAGCGCAGTAAGTTGATGGTCTGATGGATCAGCAATGACTGCACAAAAAAATGTCAAAACAGAGGCCCCCAGGCTCTGCAGTGGCTGCCCTCACCTGTACCCCGAGCAGACTGGACCTGTGCAGCACTTGGCAGGTGATTTTCACAGCCTTTTGCGAGTCGAACTTCAGCACTGCAAAGCCACCGGGCAAAATCTTCATCCGAAGCAGCAGCACTGGTTCCACCGCCATCACTGCTGTTGTTACGCGAGAGAACACCGCATGCACGGAGGTCCATGCGGGCAGGCAGTAGCATGTGGCGACCGTGCAGGGAAGGCGCTGGCCTATCCATCAGCGTTGCCACGTCCCAATCTGGGTCGGCCCATTCCACACAGATGGGGTGGCACCACAGCTGGAAGGACACTGTGGAATGGTGGCGCACAAACGGGAATATTTTTAATTTCGTTTTTTCCGACTGCGCCATCAGCACCACATAGATCACGAAATGAACTCTTGCAGAGCAGTGCCGCCACCGTGTTAAGAGAACGCCCCCCCCCCATAATTAGATATCACAGAACTACCTAAGATCTCTTCAAGTGACCTTTAATATGCACACATCAATCTGCTTAGATCAGCGTAGAAAAAGGATCAAATCAATTCCAGGACCAGCACGGCTTGGGGATTCCCATTATCCAGTAGAATTGACAAAAAGGCTGAACATGTTGCATTAACTATGGAACTGTATTCCCATACATTTAATATACCAAATAGTAAAAAGAAAACATAATTAATACATTTCAAATGCATGAGAATACCAGTTTAGGATGCAACCTAGACTTCGTACAGTAGAATACAGGAAAATACCCAGAAGGCTTGAATAAGTCAGAAACGAGGTAACTCCGATAGTGTAGTTAACAAACACGCACACACCCACAGGCTCACATGCGTACACGACAATAACAGCCACGATTCGCTTGTGCCAGGCGCGGTGCACACTCAAAATGCACCTGGCCTGGCACAGGCACCGTGGTGACGTCACCGTCACTTAGTGGCAAATGGCGGGTATTGGTATTGCCAAACTCGCACCTGTACAGACGGGCTCGCACACGTACACCCCCACACTAGCTCACATAAGCACACAAGACAAAGGTCCCCCCCCCCTCAGCCTAACAGACTTTTGGGGCAAGGGCTACGAGTGAGCCCCTCTGAAGGCTGGCACAATGAGGGGGTGGGTGACTAGGACCACATCCGACCACCTTTGTCTCCCAATAGGCAATGTTTTTAGACACCGCACCAGTCGACCTAAAAGAGGCCCAGGATCGGCTGAGAGGTCGTTACCTAATACAGGTGTAAATGCACACAGGGTCACAAGCACTAAACACGCATAATTCGTGCGACATGTGACCTCCACCGCACCTGGAATCATTCTTCTGCGGGCCATGGCGGCTGCACGATGGTTCTGGTACTCGACCAATGCGTAGCCTTGACTTTGAGCATAGCTGCTCATTTTCACATCCACAACCCCCTCCGTGGCACAACACATTTCCATCAAGACCTCCTCTTTGGTCTTGTCCTGCAAGGGGAGGAGACACAATGCAAACTCACCAGCATTCATTTACTGCTTTGAAGTCCATTCCGGTGCATACAAATTGGTGCTCATGTTATCCTATTCCAGAGACATAATGGCCCCCATAGACCAATGTCCAAAATTAAAAATTACAATACTCTCGCACCAATATTATATAGACATGCATAACAGAAATATGCCTCTCTTTTTACTCGATTGCCTTTGTCCTACCGTTCTATACAGCAGCACTTTAAATGTATGATTGTATAGCCAAAGTTGAAACTTACTTTTTGCATAAATGAGCATTGAGGCAGTGTTTCATTGCCTTGTAACAGCGTTATTGTTGCACTGGAGGGGTACTGTGACACTCGTGAATGGATGACGCAGCCTCCCGTTTTCTTCTTGTTTGATTGCATGGCACGTGCAGTGTGATATTTCATTCGCACACATTCGATTTCGTTATTTCATTCACACTGACATTTGATTTCGTTAAATGGAAAAGTGTCCATAATTTGTCAATTGTATTAACGCAAAATTGTGTAAACCACACGTTCTTACCTGTATTGGATTTAGAATACATGTTGTATTTTATACTGTTTTGTTATCATTATGGCAGATTACCCCCGCCCCTCCCCTCCGACCATGCCGCCGTACCTTTGGCAGTCCGCTAATGAAGATACAGCAATTGTCTTTGCTGATGCAGACTCCGATGCGATGTCTGGGCCGGATATACCAATTATTTAGCTTCCGGACGGCGGTCTCCGCGTCAGCGCAATTCGTGTAGGTGGCGAACGCGAAGCCGCGGTTTTCTCCGCTAAACGCCATCATAAGGCGCAGCTTGTAGAGCTGCCCAACCATCTCCAGCACGGGCACCAGCTCGTCCTCGTAGAGGTCACGCGGGAGTTTCCCCACAAACACTTCGCTGCCACGGGGGGGCGGGAACCCCTTCCAGTCTGCGGCCATGGGGGAGAGACAGTCCAGTCACATGTTAAAGTCGCCAATACAAATGTATGTGCACGTGTGGTAGCGGTTGACTTATAAGAATACAGCAATACCCCGGTTCACATCGGTGGTGCGTTCCTGAAATGTGACGAACATTGAAATGTTAATCAAAGCAATTTTTTCTCATATGAATGGGGGGGGGATTGCGTTCCTAACGTCGTCACTTCACGTATTACTCTTTGGTTCTTTCGGTGAAGTCACGCTTGTGTTGCACCCGAAACGTCGTCATTTATTTTATTTCATACCTACCTGACTTTACCGAAAGAACCAAAGAGTATGGATTCCTGCAGTCACGAAAGGTTCAAATCAAGACTGAACTTCACGTATTGTCACTCTTTACCTATATTACCCCTTTTTGGTTAATGACAGTTATATTCAAATACACATACATAACATTAAAATTACCAGACATTTAAATACAAAAAAAACAGAGTTTTAATTTTTCTTATCTCGAGTACCGAGAGCTGGCTTTGCTTACTGGGTATGAGGTGGCGATGTGGAGACACAGCGCCCCCCCCCCCGCACACATGCGCTCGTTCACAGGTCCACATTCTAGATTTGAAGTTTTCGTGACTGCAAGGATCCATACTTAAAGTTTTTTTTTCGTGACTTTACCGAAAAAACCGAAGAGTCTAGGGTCCACATACACGCACTCGTAGGAGGAGCGCATGCGTCTCGCCTCGGCAGCAGTGCCGAATTACATCTAATTTTACTTCTACGATACATAAACACGTTTACAACGCCTCTTAGTCACAGATACTGTACTCAACACCAGTGTAGAGCAGTAAACTTTAACACAAATTATATAGGGTACAATAAAGATCACCAAAATACTGTACAGACAATTCCCGGGTTACAAATCTAATTCATTCCCGAGACCTGTTCATAAGTTGAACGGTTCATAAGTCGGAACACAATAAGGTACTGTATTTAAATGCCCGTATAGTCAGTGTTATGAAATGTATTATGGTTGGACAAAAATGGAAGCATTGTTGAACTCACAATTAAAAATAAATATTGTACATTTGCATGTAACATTGTAAAAAATATACTGTATAGTAAAACTAAATAAACATAAATAGAAAAAAAACTTGTATTTTCACTTACCTTGAGTCCTGATGCTAGCTTGTAGTCGGAAGGGAGGAAATGAGTCACCACAATTGCACACACACAGACGCACACCCACACTCCAACAATCTCCTGTGTTACCTTTACAGGGTGTTGGTGGCAGAGCTGTTAGCAAGCAGCGCCGCTGAAGGCCAGGACGGCACACGAGGGGGGGGCGAGTGGCCAGCGCCATGCCCGGCTACAGATGCCTCCCCAGTGGCGTCGTTTATACACCGCATCAGGTACCCATTTGAGGCTGAGTCGACCTGGGGGAGGCCCAGGTCCCATTCAGATAATCGTCACTGGTGTTGACCGTGAGCAAGAATCGAACTCGGGTCTCCGCTTTCGTAGCGCAGCGCGCTAACCGCTACACTACCGCTCCCCACAGACTCACCGTCACAGACGCACACAGTCACACACACACAAGTCACACACACACAGTCACACACACACACAGTCACACACACACACAGTCACACACACACACAGTCCACACGCGCTCGCACTCACTCCCAGCGTGAGGCCGACTCATAACATCTCTCGGAGGATCACTCCTCGGAACAGAATATTTCCACGTTTCTTGACTTAAAACGCGAGTTCGCGTTAAGCCAAATGTTATTTTTTTATATCTCGTGGACGCTGGTTGTCAAGTACGTGTGTTCGTAAGTCGATGACTACATGCGCATACATAATATACTGTACCCTACAGTACATTTATTTATGCGCTACGCAAAGTAGTTTGTACAGGGTAGGTGGAGAGCGAAGGCCGAGGCGACGGATACGGTTGGGGCGATGCAGATCAGGCAGTATTAAGTGACGACGTATTTGCAAAACGACGTAAATCAGGGTATTACCGTCCCTGGTATGGTGTGAAAACATCATTTAGGAAGACAGATGGCTTGATGCCGGCCACCCACCCATGTCCCGTTTTGTTTGCTGTTGTAACTTTCTGACCTGCCCATACTATACATATGAAAAAGACCTTCATAGCTCATCGGATTTCTCAAGGATAAAAAAATTCATTTGTGGACCATGTTGGCCTTAATTGATCCTCACTAATAGCGCTTTCCCAACGGTATGCTATGTCTATAGGGGGATCTTTATCTTTGTGATAGCGGTAGTGAGTGGTTAGCACACACGAGGTAAACATCGATGGCGAATGTGGTCTGGTCCTGGGACTCCCTTAGGACAACTCACCCGGGTCAAAGGCCGTGGTGCTGGTCACACCATTCCCTTGGGTATTCCAGTCTTAATAGGTACTAACAGCATTAGACCTCCTTTGCCAGTACAAAAATATAAAAGGGTTTTTACCCTTTTTTTCCGACAACAAAACTGAAACCTTTTTTTACGAGGATTCATGTCTGCATTGACCACAATACTTGCAGTCAAAATGCAAACAAAACAAAAATATCGATTTAAAGCTTTCGTGACTGCAGGGATTCATCTTCTTGGTTCTTTCGGTAAAGTCACGTACAATTGTATTTTATTATATTTTATTACTTTATTATTTCCCTTCTACGTGACTTTACCGAAAGAACTAAGAAGAAAAAACTAAAAGTGGGCTTTTTTTGCATTTTGACTGCCAGTATTGTGGTTAATGCAGACACGAATCCTTGTAAGAAGGTTTCAGTTTTGTTGCCAGAAAAAAGGGGAAAACCCCTATTAAGGTACGAACAACTCGGCTTCAAAACACTATATGTATGGGGGGGGGCTTTATGTGCACGCGTATGCTCCCGTGGGTGCGAATCAACACGAGTGCCCATGTATCCTTATATCCATGTGCCCATGTACCCATGTGCGTGCCTGTGCGTGCACATTCGCGCGGACAAGAGTCTCGGTGCGTCTCAGATACCGGGTGGCGGTCCGTACGTCCGCTGTCCGTTCTCTTGGGCCAGTCTGTACCCCGTGCGACGAACCAGCTCCTGCAACGCATTCTCCTTGGGGTCAACACTGAACGCTTTTAAAACCCTCAGAGTGGTGCTGGTTATCGGAGCATGGCACGGGGAATCTGACGCCATCTAAGGGGGGGGGGGGGGGAGGGAGGCAAATCAGCGCACAACGGTTGATGAATTAAAATGTTCTCTCTCGAGGTTGTTCTGCAACTTTCTTTATACAGCGATCATTTTGTGCACGACGAAGCAGCCGCTTTTGCAGTTCCCGGGAGCGTGCAGAGCAAGAGCCGTGAGCCCGTGACTCCGGACATCAGGAGGGGTTCTCAACAGCACCTCAACAGCACACGGGACGACTCAAGTGTGCCTACTAGCACCCGTGTGCTATTAGGCACAGAACGCCATGCGTTTCTCCAATGTTTCTCCAAATACTCTTAGGGTTTTTCGGTAAAGTCACGTAGGTAAAAATAAATAATATAATTTTATTTCTAGATAATATAAATATAATTTGATTTCTATTATTTTTACCTACGTGAAGTTACCGAAAAAACCTAAGAGTATGAATCCTTGTAGTCACGAAAGCTTCAAATCTAGAGTTTCTCCAAATGTTTCGTGCTCATAAGCCTCACGTGGTGTTGCACTGCGCAATTCCCAAGAAATGTACTACACATTTGGCAACATTAACATTCGACTATCGCATTGGAAATGAACACAAAACCACTACGATTTCAGAGTCAAGTGTTTGGTAGTCGTTTTGACGTGTAAAGTTTAATATTGTCATAAACGTCGCACAATTGAATTAGAATGCACGCAGTTGTGCAAGTGTGATGTAAAACTGTCGTCAATATCACCCGCGATCCACAGCTGTCGCAGCTATTGTATAGATATATAGTTTTAAAGGCCCAGCACTGGAGTAAGACTCCACAGGGTTATTTTATTATATTTGTAAACCCCAGATTGAAGTCACGTGACGTGCTGCCCGCGCTGTAACTAATTTTACTTGGGCCCAAAACGTCGACTATTTTCTTTCGATTAAAGGCAAGTGTTATATACAAGTGTTATATATATTTCTCTATTTAAGGCCAGTGTTATTGAAGACTGTGTGCAATGTTTAGTAATGTTGTTGTGCACCATTGCTTAACCGGGCAGTATCACGAAAGATTCGCAGCACTGAAGACGAAACGTGTCTGGATAAATTAAAATAAATCGTGTTAAAAGTGATTTGATGGTAATTCAACAGAGGCCTAAATGAATTTGCTTGTAAATGTCCGCGGCTCCCCAATCAAAACGCCCAGACCCTCCTCTCTCCTGCTTTGGCAGCACGAAGTGGTAGTCGTAATTCCACTTCTCCATGGCGGGAGTAAGAGCGACAAGATTTATGATTAATTCACACAAAGCGACACTTTTACACTTCGCAGTGCATACATCATACTGTACGCGGGATCTTTTAAATAAACATTCGACAAATATCCGATGGATTCAACACCCGGAGCCAATATAATGAAAGGTACCCCCCCTTCTTAACCACATTCAACATTCACACGTCACCTCGGCGAGCACCGCAGACTTGGAGACAAACGTGGCCAAGATGGCGGCTCCCTTACACCGCCATTTTAGGAACATGGCCGCCCCCCCAAACTCCCCCCGGCCCCCCACAACTCCCCCCCCCCAAACTCCCCCGCGCCCCCCCCCACAAACTCCCCCCGCCCCCCCCCCAAACTCCCCCCGCGCCCCCCCAAACTCCCCCCGCCCCCCCCAAACTCCCCCCGCGCCCCCCCAAACTCCCCCCGCGCCCCCCCCAAACTCCCCCCGCGCCCCCCCAAACTCCCCCCGCCCCCCCACAAACTCCCCCCGCGCCCCCCCCAAACTCCCCCCGCCCCCCCCCAAACTCCCCCCGCCCCCCCACAAACTCCCCCCGCCCCCCCCCAAACTCCCCCCGCGCCCCCCCCAAACTCCCCCCGCCCCCCCCAAATTCCCCCCGCGCCCCCCCAAACTCCCCCCGCGCCCCCCCCAAACTCCCCCGCGCCCCCCCAAACTCCCCCCGCCCCCCCACAAACTCCCCCCGCCCCCCCACAAACTCCCCCGCCCCGCCCCCCAAAGCCCCTTCGCCCGTGTAAAATGTTATCTATGAATTTCAGCATGTTATTGTCCACATTGTGCTTAATCTTGATTTAAAGCTTTCGTGACCGCAGGAATCCATACTCTTTGGTTCTTTCGGTAAAGTCCACGTATTTCTAACTACGTGACTTGACCGAAAGCACCAAAGAGTATATTGTGCTTAATAATGTACATGTCACGGTATTCTCAACAACGATGCCACGGTGACGAGATGTGTTTGGTACAATTGTCGCCCTTCAATGGAGACCGTCGACATTTGGCACCGCTGACGTCGCTTTCACTCAGAGTGATTGACGTGGACTTGGTCCAGTCAATTGAAAGGCGTCGTTAAATGTTGATTACGTTCATTATTTAGTATGTGTCCTCGTTGTACGGAAAGCGCGCTCTGTGCGGCAGACAAGCAGATTTAATTTGATATTTTAAAAACACGGTAAAACCAAAAAATAAGCGCGAAAATATCAACTTTTTTTTACTACGATTACATCGGATGACGCAATTTTAAAAAGGATTTCGTTCGACGACGACGTGGCGAGCGCAAATAAAACGAGGCGTATCAATATATTTAATTGATATCTCTGTAAATTTTTAATCACACACAAAAAAACAGTCAAATTCATTTCCGTCGCCCCCCCCCCCGCCGCCCCCCCAGGGCCGTGCGATCACCTGGTGATGATGGTGCAGAGACACGAAGGCGGGCGTCGTCGCTGGGGGGGCACTCGACCGCGTGCCGCCGAGCCCGTGTGGCAAGGCGTGGGTCACTCGCAGCAGCTCGAGGCACCCAATGCAATCTCCTATCAGAGATGCACCCCTTTATGGACACGAGAGATATTAAGGCCACACCTAATCGATGGACACGTGGGATTTTGAGGCCCCACCTATGGCCACACCCCACGAGCTGAAAAGGTGCTTACAATTTTATTTAATATGTGAAGCCCGCTGAGATCTAAAACGCCCTGGCTATCACGCGATAGCTCAATGAAGTGGCTTCTCACGTGGAAATGTATAGCACCCAAATATTCTAAACTTATGTTTTTAAACGTGGAGGGGAAAAAACTGGAGGGCACGGAGACAAATCCACGGGGAGAGAGAGAGAGACACGCAGACTCCAAATACACAGCAGCAGGCGTCAGGGTCGGGATCGAATCGACGACCCTCCTGCGTGCCAGGCGAGGTAGCTACCGTCCCCTCGCCATCGCGATGTTGATGAGAGAGAGACGCAAACTCCAAATACACAGCAGCAGCAGGGGGCCGGGTCAAACACACTAACCTCCTGCACGCCACGCGAGGTAGTTACCGTCCCCTCGCCATTGCGATGCTGATGAGAGAGAGACGCAAACTCCAAATACTCAGCAGCAGCAGGGGGCCGGGTCAAACACACGAACCTCCTGCGTGCCAGGCGAGGTAGTTAACATCCCGACATCGTAGAATCCACAGAACGCCAATGGTTTCGTGTACAGTCACATAATCAAATTTAAGAAGGAAAAAAACGGACATCAGAATACAATGTTCTTTAATTTAATACAAAAAGGGGCATAAGAATAATAAAATAATCAGCGGGTTCATCACCGTGTCGATTTACTCCCGAGGCCGGTTGATGGAGTCACCCCATTGGCTGGCCCAGCATCACGTGACACGCCCCCTCTCTGTGATTGGCTAATTGCTGCCTGCTCGGCGGTTTTTTCGCGGTCCGTTTGTATCGCGACAGCCACAAACATTTAAACGTTTTGACGTTTTAAACGATTTTATTAACGTTTTTATTACTCCTTAAACGTTTCCTTGGTGTGGTTGGGGGGAATAAACCCCAAATCGTGGGAACTAAATCGATTAAAACGTAACGTTGAAATAATTTACCTCAGTGTAGGAATATCCTGTACGTTTATTTGTTTTAAAAGCTCACGTAAGATTTTAGTAACTTATTAGAAGTAATTTTATTAAACTGAAGTAACTTATAAAAGACGTGGATATCACAGTACAATACACGTCACGAATACAATATTCTAAAATCTCTTCAAATTATATAATTCTGTTGCTAAAAGTAAATGTCGGGTGGATATTTCAATTAAATCTAGTAATTTGAGGAAATCTATAGACGCAGACGTAAGATCAACTAAAATAACCTATAGACGCGTAAAACATTTTCCCGCCTCATAGGGATTCGGTTAATTATGCAATAACATAGTTCCTGTGAGGTTTCTGGTGCCTTCCACTTCGAGCGAATATTACAATTTTAATCTCAAATTTGAGGGACGTTAATCCTTTACAAATGTAACCACCCACAAATGTAACCACCACAGATCTAAAGAGGCGTAGTAAAAGTGGCGAGAATCCTGCGGTAGATTCCCTCCAGGAGGACCTCGGCTGGCGGTGCCAAACCCAATCGCCATTGCCTCCCAACAACATCAACAACAACGTCAACAACAACGAAGTGTGTGTAGCCATGTCGTCCTGGCCCGTCCTCTCGTGGCTGAGGGACAGGGTCTCCTCCATGCTGAGCACTGCCAGTCGCTTCGACCGCCTCATGGAGGACGAGGGTCACCGCGACTCCGTGCGGCGCCTCCTCGGCCACGTGGCGGACGAGGAGGACGTGGAGGACGATCCGCCCCAGGTGCTGTGGTTCTACGTGGAGGCTTTGGGACGACAGCAGGGTGAGAGAGACACCAATGCTGAGCTTACGTCTTCCTTCACGACATCTTCGTCGTGGCATTATCCCCCCCCCCCCTTCGTGTGATGATAATAAAATAAAGATGCGCGCAAGTAAGTTTAATTTACACCCGAACGCTCATGACAGACTTAACGCGGTTGTCTTTATCTGTGTAAGAATCGCGATAAGGGAATAATTGTAGGGATCACCACCAACACTTTCCGTGACGAATCTTTGCAAGATATCGCGGATAATGGGAAGATGCTGAAGTGGCGTGGTTTAGATTGTCTTGCAAAAACAATCGTTTATCACAGCTCCAATAACCATGCTATATTGTGTATGTTCATGGCGTGTATATTTGAAATACAATTTGTATGTGTTCAAGCAAAGTCGCATACTTGGTATTTATACATCTTCACAATACAGTACTGTACTACATGTAATTCTACCAATCACTGTACAACACTTAATTATATCAACACCTGGTGGCGTCATTGTGAAATGTGAGTATTTTTGTTTCCGACAGAGAAAATTCCACAAACGTGATATTTGCTCAGAAAAAAATGTATTTACTGAAAATGGCTGAATGTAAAATAAACTTCTTTTTTTGTGCGTTTTATTCCAGAAACAAATATGGATATGGTGAGGGTTTTGCACCTACCTATTGGAATCACCCTTGTTGATTTTGTCACCCTCATACAAGAGATGAGAAGAGAGGGGCCCCATGGTTTATTGTGAACTCTGGGCGTGTTTCAATGGTCTGCCAGTGACGAGGGGTCGATTCTAATCACTGTGACCTACCACTTTCTAATACATTGTCTTAAAATGCTGTGATGTTTCTGTTATCAGAATCTGAATTTTACTGGTAGGACCCTCCTGGTTACACCAGCCCACAGGGGATTATTGTGTCCATCGTGCAGGGAGGGGCTGGGTGGGGAGGGAGGGGCTGGGTGGGTGGGGAGGAGCTGGGTGGGGAGGGGCTGGTCACCCCGTGTTGCCCTTATAAACTCAACGTTTAACCTACTCACGCCGGCTTGTGCCCGCCCTCACAGTCGGACATATTTGCGGAATACACCACGCCGCCGTTGACCCTGGCCATTGACCGAGCAACCCAACGTTCCTACCAGCTCCCTCCGCAGGAATGTGTTAATTTATCATCGAGAAATCACAGATGCCCAATAAGGGGTGGATCGGATTTTTTTCGCCAGGCCAGATGCATACCCATTGTGGCCTTGCCTGTAAAGTTCCGTCGTGTACTGATCACAGCATTGCTGCAACTCAGCTATTTACGTGATTCTTCAAGTGTCACAACACTTGGTATTCTATCATGTAACAATATTGTACGTACAAGTGTTTTATTTTGAATAATGTACAACACGTATTATAACACTGAACACTGCATTTAATGATTTGTGATGGGGTTTTTGTGTGAATGAAGGAATCTGAGGTCTTGCATATCAGCTATGGTCACCTACCTGAGAACTACATTGGCCAGGGCTTATATTTTCTACGAAACACAAGAGGTGGTTACATATCAATTTGTTTAAATACATGATGTTACTGTATTTATTATGTTTCATAAAATTTTACATATACTGGTTACTCAATGCATGTCAAGTTTAACCCGTGCCTGCCATAAATAGTGGTCGCGTGAGTTTCAAAATATCCCAACCATGTGAAATTGTTTAACTGAATTTATATATCTATCTGGACAGAGTCAATCCCAACGCCTGTCAATTTTCTGGAAGCAAATCAACTCCTGCCACAATTCCTGGAATTTGGACTCTGCTCTGGACCTCTGCTAGGCGTATTGGAACAAGTGCTTTCCCAGGTATTACTGTAACATGGACTATACATCAATCGTTTGTTTCAATAAAAATGTAATCCACAATAATTTATGGCCATGACACTAATTTGTAACAAAACATTGACGTGATGTGATGGGTCACAGATGTATGTGCCATTGCTCGCGTATGGTCGGCACAAAGGAATTACAGTGCCTCCCAACGACAGCATACAAATGGAAGCAGCAAGCCAAACACCTCGCGAGCAACTGTCATCCTCTAATAGTTCAGAAGAGAAGGGCATTGCCGAGCCTCTGTCCTCCACTGAACAGTTAGGCAAAAATAAGGTTATTGCGTGCAACCCGCAGCCAATGCGTGACGCATTTCTTCTCGGCTTACATACATTTGTTGACTTTGTCCATCGTGCCAATCAGCAGCTTGCAGGTGAGAATATTGCAGACATGGAGAGCCTTCATTTGCCATTGTAAAATACATGTTTGACATACTCTGTAGTTTGGCTTTAAATGTATTTTTGAACATACTACTTTAAATTTGTGTCATGATGGAAATTGTGCCTTTGTTGAAATGTTTCTGAAACATTTGCAGGAAACATAACATTGACGATTCCAGAGAACTGGCGTGCTTTATTAAGAGACTCTGCAAATCTTGATATGGTCCAAAAATGTCTGACAGACTGGCAGATCCAGACCATGAGAACCATCGAGGTAGAACTGGAAAAGATTCCACAGGTATGTTGAGCACTGGTAAAACAAAGCTTGTCAACTTGTGGTCAACACTCCCAAACGCTACGTTTTAAATTGAATTATGGAATTAATGACGTATAAATCTCACGAGGTTTTCAGTTTACAATAGTTGTGCATGTCATCAGGATAAAGGACCACTGGCGGAGATAGAATTCTGGCGAGAACGCAGGACTGTGCTCGAAGCACTAGCGGAACAGCTGAAACTTCCGGCTGTGCTGGAGACACTGGCATTGGTCGCCAAAGTTGATCCTGTGGCAGTACAGACATTTGAGCTCGCCACCTCCGAGCTTCATGAGCTGCAAGTAGAGGCCAAGGACAACGTCCGGTTTTTGTCCGCACTGGAAAGATACTTCAAGGTACGGGTATCAAGCTGCAGTTCAAGCGTAATTCCTTCATTATTTAAATTGATTCTCAATTTATTAATCTGTCTTCGGTTAGCCTTGCAGCAGTTGGGCCAAAAAAAAAACTTGGGTCACCATAGAGGCTTCTTAATGAGAAAAATGTGGAATTGCAATGACCTCCATCCAAGTCAATCATGGATTTAATATAATTATATGGGGTAGCTTGGTACCTGCAGCATGTAGCAGAGGGAAGCGACATGAGGGCTAGAACACGACATAGACGATATTATTTTGTAATTTGTATTCACAATGCTCATGATTATATTAAGTTATGTATTCTATAATATTGCGTCGAACTACAACCCATACATGTAACATTGACAGTTTACCAGCATTGAGTAAAGCACGCTTGACACTGTAGAAACTGGTGCAGAGTTTACTGATATGTAGATCAATGCTGCTGAAATTATGCACTCCCGGAATGCCGTGCAGCCGATGACTTGTATAAGAAATACATTTATGATTATTTTGAGTCAGGACTGGAAGTAACTTCAAATAGCGTTGTTAAACAGTAACTCTGTGAAAGGATAAGAGAGAGATCAGTGGGAGACAAATGTTGGTCAGAGAAGTTAGAAAGATTAAAGATAGGGCAGGTGTAAATGAGGGTGAACTTCTGGGGATGTGAACAGGGGGAGGGAGATGGGGGATAGCAGTGTGCAAGTAATGGATGGGTGTGCTGGGGGACCTACGAGGGAAACTTGGTTCATAGCTCGTTCAGGATTGCTGTTTAAAAGATGCAAGCAGATATATTAACCCTATCTTGAGTGAAGGGTAGGTACCTACTAGCTAATATGGAGGAGAGGTGAGTAGTTTTAGCTGTGTAGAGAGGACAAGCGTACCAGAGGAGGTACCGGAGAGAAGTTGTGCAAGGTGAGGGTAGCATAGGAGACATGCTTGCCCGAGTGAAGTGGAAATACATACAGACCATAATAAAGGTTTTTGGGTTAGATCACGTAAGTAAAAATGTGTCATAACCCTCCACTATCCAACACAGCCAATAAGGTTTGGCACGTGAACAAGTTGCCAATTAGTTATTCAGCCCACCGGTGTGTTGGAGAGTAAATCCACAACATTTACAATTTGAATACGACATTTCGTTGAATTTGCCAAATCGCCGATGATGCTGGATGTAATTACCAGCGAAACGTCAATATTTTAAATGTTGTGGATTTACTCTCCAACACACAGGTGGGCTGAAGTAGTAAATAATTGGCGCATTGTTTACGTGACAAACCTTACTGGCTGTGTCGTGTGGTGGAGGGTTACGACACATTTATACTTACGTGATTTAACCCAAAAACCTTTATTATGAATAATATTGGTCGCGAAAGCCTACATGCTAAACTGATATACAGACCGCTCGCGATGATTTCGGTGCGTAATCTGAACTTGGGGACAAAGTCGTAGGTGTTATGGGTTAGGGAGTCATACGTGTTAATTAATATAGTGGAAATATGCTGTATAACCCTATGCCACGATTTTGTCAGACACTCTCCCAAGGTACAAGCTTTAGGGTTGTCATTGACACCCTGCCGTCGATGATGATGGGGCTGCGCGTGGTGTGGACCATCTCACATCACTACAACACGAGCGAGCGCATGGGGCCACTCATGCAGCGCATCGCGTGGGAGATAGCAGAGCGTGTCTGCTGCATCATTGACGTCCGCTCGCTGTTTAAGTGCGTTCATCTCGTGTACAACTCTGTGTTAAATTCAAAATGTCATTGTTAGTAGTTTAAAAATATATATACACACATAACAGGGGTGAACAGTATGATGAAGTATATTCAAATAATCCCCATGACCGATATGGCGTGGGGAGGCCTTTATCCAGTAGAAAATACATTGTTTTTATTTATAAAATTGCAAGTAAAATAAATTTACAAAAAGAAAATCCATAAAATGTTATAGCCTGCTAATGTAGACTTATTACAAGCTTGCATAATCCCCAGTCAAATGAAAATTGCAACAAATATGTAGAGAACTTAAAACATATTTTTTTAAATATGACCAATTTTTCCTGTTCAGGAATAGTCCCATGGTGGTCATGAGGCAGACAAAAGAAGCGAAGAGAATGTTGGTCCGGTGGAAAGAGTGTTACCTAGAAACCTGTGCTGCCATTGAGGCATCGGGCAGGTGTGAGTACTGGGTGTTTGACAAAAAGTGTCTATTTCAGAAGACTGACTACATGACTGGCGTATGCCAGGACCTTTATGACATAGCGCAGGTACAAACGTATGCTTTGTACAATTAACACATTCTACGGAAATGGGTGTTTTACTAGTCTTCATTTTTACATTTCTCTGGCATGAAACCAAAGGTATATGTTAAATAAAAAACAAATGGATGCAATTTTCCTGAAATACAATATATTAATCCACAGCAATGCAGTACATTATATGTACGTTAAAAGAAAGCTGTTTAAAATCACATCCAATTCTCAGCTTGAGGGCATTGTGCCACCACTTACGGGTTTTATATGACCCTCTGTGTGCATAGCAGGGCTTATTATCTGCACCCTGGACACCACATCCAGTATACGCTTGGCTTGAGCAACAAGCCACATGGCTACTCCAGTCGACCAGCAGCCTGGAAGATATTCAATGAGAAATTAAGTCCTGGTGCTGAGATCTATGTTTAACACTATCATGCATCACATGTTACGATGTAGCACATGTAGATAGAATTCTCATCTTGGAATGTAGCTGCAGTGTTTGATCGCACTTCAGTGTGGTTGTGTTGAGGTTACGTGGATTCCCCAATTTGTAGCTGCACAGTGCTGTAATAATACAACTCAAGCTAGAAAACGTTGGGAGAAGCATGTTATTTATTTCTACTGCACATTTTGGTAACAAATCACGTAATGTGGGTGCAATTTGGTGATACCACGAAAAGGAAATATGTTTGTGCATCACAATTGCGCCAAAGTCTCCAAATCCACATTGGACAACCCAAGATACAGTGAGGGGAAAAAAGTATTTGATCCCCTGCTGATTTTGTACGTTTGCCCACCGACAAAGAAATGATCAGTCTATAATTTTAATGGTAGGTTTATTTGAACAGTGAGAGACAGAATAACAACGACAAAATCTAGAAAAACGCATGTCAAAAATTTTATAAATTGATTTGCATTTTAATAAGGGAAATAAGTATTTGACCCCCTCTCAATCAGAAAGATTTCTGGCTCCCAGGTGTCTTTTATACAGGTAACAAGCTGAGATTAGGCGCACACTCTTAAAGGGAGTGCTCCTAATCTCAGCTTGTTACCACTCTTAAAGGGAGTGCTCCTAATCTCAGCTTGTTACCACTCTTAAAGGGAGTGCTCCTAATCTCAGCTTGTTACCTGTGTAGAGGAGTAAAATAGGGACGTGACGTCAGGTGTGCCATTCAGTGCGATGACGTCACGTCTCCTAGGGTACTTAAGGGATATCCCATGAAGTAAGCGGGGTCACTGTGGGAACGGATAAAGTAAACAGGGTGAAGAGGGAACCAGGGGTAGAGAGAGGGATCAAATAGGGAGTCTGGGGAGAAGCCGGTGGTAGCCGTAGAGGTGCTCTCTCTCCGGTCGGTGGAGTCGGCAGAGTCCACGATCCGACACGAGAGAGACCGGAGCTAGCCGGCAGGGACCCCGACTCAAGAGTAGGACCCCTAAAAGACACCTGTTTACAGAAGCAATCAATCAGATTCCAAACGCTCCACCATGGTCAAGACCAAAGAGCTCTCCAAGGATGTCAGGGACAAGATTGTAGACCTACACAAGGCTGGAATGGGCTACAAGACCATCGCCAAGCAGCTTGGTGAGAAGGTGACAACAGTTGGTGCGATTATTCGCAAATGGAAGAAACACAAGAACTGTCAATCTCCCTCGGCCTGGGGCTCCATGCAAGATCTCACCTCGTGGAGTTGCAATGATCATGAGAACGGTGAGGAATCAGCCCAGAACTACACGGGAGGATCTTGTCAATGATCTCAGCAGCTGGGACCATAGTCACCAAGAAAATAGTTGGTAACACTACGCCGTGAAGGACTGAAATCCTGCAGCGCCCGCAAGGTCCCCGTGCTCAAGAAAGCACATACATGCCCGTCTGAAGTTTGCCAATGAACATGTGAATGATTCAGAGGACAACTGGGTGAAAGTGTTGTGGTCAAATGAGACCAAAATGGAGCTCTTTGGCATCAACTCAACTCGCCGTGTTTGGAGGAGGAATGCTGCCTATGACCCCAAGAACACCATCCCCACCGTCAAACATGGAGGTGGAAACATGCTTTGGGGGTGTTTTTCTACTAAGGGGACAGGACAACTTCACCGCATCAAAGGGACGATGGACGGGGCCATGTACCGTCAAATCTTGGGTGAGAACCTCCTTCCCTTAGCCAGGGCATTGGAAATGGGTTGTGGATGGGTATTCCAGCATGACACTGACCCAAAACACACGGCCAAGGCAACAAAGGAGTGGCTCAAGAAGAAGAACATTAAGGTCCTGGAGTGGCCTAGCCAGTCTCCAGACCTTAATCCCATAGAAAATCTGTGGAGGGAGCTGGAGGTTCGAGTTGCCAAACGTCAGCCTCGAAACCTTAATGACTTGGAGAAGATCTGCAAAGAGGAGTGGGACAAAATCCCTCCTGAGATGTGTGCAAACCTGGTGGCCAACTAAAAGAAACGTCTGACCTCTGTGATTGCCAACAAGGGTTTTGCCACCAAGTACTAAGTCATGTTTTGCAGAGGGGTTAAATACTTATTTCCCTCATTAAAATGCAAATCAATTTATAAAATTTTTGACATGCATTTTTCTGGATTTTGTTGTTATTCTGTCTCTCACTGTTCAATTAAACCTACCATTAAAATTATAGACTGATCATTTCTTTGTCAGTCGACAAACGTACAAAATCAGCAGGGGATCAAATACTTTTTTCCCTCACTGTATGCAGCTTAGCCTGTTTATGTAGCTACAACTTAATCCTATTTATTAGGTGTTGTCTTTAAATCAAGTGTAGATATGAATGTGCTACTTCATATGAAAAATGTATCATTCTTTGGAATTTTGGGTAAATATAATGTACACACAATGAGTTGTTTTTGGATGTCTGTCTTGTGATACAAATATATTTTTACTTAGATTCTGGAAGAATTTTATGCAGATTTTGGGCCAGAGTTGAAGTCCATAACTGGGATTTTGTGGTATATCGATGATGCACAAAAGAAGGCTGACCAGCTCATTGACCCATTTACAAGCATACTTTTCAACCCATTCAATGTCCAGTATGCAAAATCGTGGAATGGATTAATTACTGGTTTCAAGCAGGTGTGTAAAGGTGCAACTGTTGACATAATTATTTGTAAACATAATTTACATTTTTCATTTGTGTTTATTTTTCTATTCTCTATCCCAGGAAAATATTGGTAATGCAAATTTAGGGTTTTTTATTTACCCAGGACATTCTAAACTCAGTTTGAAAGCCCTTCCATAAACGTTTGACTAATTCCATATTGAGTATTTTTGTATGTGAGAGGAAACAGGAATGCCAAGAGAAACTCCTTGTTGATGAATGGACAATATTGATAATGTACAATCCTACATTGTTGATACAACTCAATTGATCGACCTGTTTGCACATTTTTTTTTACAAAATCTATGTATATATTGATGTTTAATTAAAGGATATCGAAGAGACGGCTGTGACCTTAATAAATGATGCATTCAAACACCTACGTTCCGCTGATGCATTTGACATGCTATTGAAGTTTAAGAACATTCAAAAGGGAGAGAAAATCAGCTCACTGTTGATGGAGAAAGTTAATGAAGTGCTCTTACGGTACTGCAAAGAGGTACTTGTTTTACTTATGCTGTGTTACAATGTGAACTTTGACCATGTTTGAACTGTATCTAAAGTAATAGCAGTGATCTACAGTAGTATTGTGGGAATATACATGCTCTTTTAAAAAATCTAGCCTTCAGAGAATTGTATTTGTGTTCATGACATTTGTTTGGTTTGGTTTGGTGAGATTTCATTGTGCTTCATTTCCTATTTGTAGTACTATAATGAAGTTGAGTTTAATGTAATAATTATGTGTGTGCCAACGGTGCATATTTGCTAGTCTTAACCAATTATTAACTGGTCTGTGCATTAATGGAGAAATTCTGCGATATGGTTCTGTAACAAATGTTTAAAAAAGCCAATGCATATGACAAAAAACAGGACATATCACACCAAACCACCTGTAAGTATTTAAACAAATCTTAGAAAATCTGTTTTTCAGGTAGCAACAGTGCAGGAAATATTTATGACGTCTCATGAGAAGCCACCAATTGGCAAGAGCCAACCGCCGGTGGCTGGAGCCATCAGCTGGGCTCGTATGCTATTTCAGCGTATCAAGAATCCCATCATCCACTTCCTGAGCTCTCCACATGTGATGGACACGGAAATCGGCAGAGCTGTGCGTCAATCTAGAAGTTTGCAGTCATGGAAATAGTTTGGTTGATTAACATTCCAGGGTTTTGTAGTTGCAATTCGGGACAGCACTGCTGAGATGCAACATACTTAAGAGAGGAGAACTACATGTAAATGTATTGTCATGCATGGGGTATCATGTAATGGACGAAAACCATTCTGAGTAGACTCATATTTCCCAAAACAGCTCCCTTAAAATGAAAGTAATGCGATAAATTAAACACTCCATATGCCTTCCCATATTTGTCACTAAATTACTTTTATTCTCCACAACGACGTTAATTTTTTTAGTTATCAATTATATATTTCTGCATCGAGTTTGGACCCATATCTTAGGGTCTTTACATATAAACAATTGGCATTGGTTTAAGCAAGCTTGGCTCGTCATGAGACACTGAATGTGGAAACCAATGCTGCTAAACAAATACTCTCAGAATGCTGTGTGGCGCAGGGGTCCCCAAACCGGGCCGCACAGCAGGAGGTGAGCGGTGAGTCCGCGCGTGGCCCGCCCATTATTTTATATACCACTTCCATCCGTGCCTCTTTCCCGCACTGCGCACTTTTCTCAGTTTTGGTAAGCCCACAAGCTAACCCTTGCCATAATAAGTCAAAAACAAACGTCGCTGGAGAGCTTCTTTGAAAAAGGGGAAAGACCCAATGATGACCCCCCCCCCGGTCCGTGAAAAAATTGTCTTCCACAAAACCGGTCCCTGGTGCCAAAAAGATTGGGGACCGCTAACTTAATTGAATGTGAAAAAATACTTTCATATTTTTATGGGGAGGGACAGATATGGGAAGGAGGCATATTATTTGCTCATTAATTATTTTCACAGTGATGCTAATAATTATTCTGTAATGTATATTTATCAATAGCTATCTGAGAACAAAATTGTGAGCAATGAAGGCAACATTAACAGTTATGTTGGTATGTTACAGACTAAAGAAAAGTATCTAGAAGTGGGAATGCAATTGAAAAAATATGAGGAGAAGAAATATGCCGACTGGACAAAAGAGGTGGAATCTGTTCTGTTACCTTACCTGCACAAAAGCCTGCTGAGGCTCGCGGATTCACAGGGCAATCTCAAGCTATCTGCAATGGATGACTACATTAATCCTGAAAGTAACTCACTAGCTACTGTAAGTGAATATATTTTAAACTACTTTATAGGTCTAGTATTTATACTTAAATGAATTGTAATGTATTCATATACTATACATCCTATATTTATATGATGCTAAATAGGAAAAGTATGGATGAGTCATTGTCAGGGTTGACTAATCCCAACATCCCACCAGAGTTGATACAAACAAGTACCACTTTTGAGAGAATGTAAGAGATTGATCTTTGTTTCAAGAATCTGAAATGTTCACCGTTGGTTTAGGACTGTTGAAGGTGATGAGCCAGATGTTTCTTAGACGCACCCATTCGGTTCAGCAAACATGAGCCCACTTCTTTGTGCTGATACTGTATGTTGAAAATGTGAATATTCAGCTCTCGTTTAACACTTACTCCACGCCACGTTAGTTTGTCTCTTAAGGCTTCCATCGCCTGTACCGCTTACTAAATACCATAGACTGCTTCTTCAGATTTGCTGTCATGGTCAGACTCCCCATGCTCCCATATTGGAAGGATCATAGTAAATAAAAGTAAAATGTGTGTGGATTCATACAATGCCGAAAAAGTATCTGTAAAGCATCTGGGCACTTATCGCAATGCGAAAATGAGAATATACTGTACAAACACTGCTAGGAGCCCTCTTCAGAATTGCTTTGCCCCAGAATAATACAATTTACTGTATTATTTCTCCTCTCTCTGATGATGGGACTGTTCCCTGGGGATGGGTGTTCGGTATATGCTTACACGGCAGGAACAATCTGGGTGTAACTTTTCTGAATCCTTTATTACTTCCTCTCCCTTTGATTTTCCTTTATCGAATGTTCGATAAATAATACTTAAACAGACGGTTTTTGGCTGATTTCAAAGTTTAAGCGAATGTTTGATGTACCATCTTTCTAACTGTTTCGTATAGCTGATATAGATGCAGAGCAACAACTACAATTTCACATTATGGTGTTCAAGCCAGATAACTGTGCCAGGAGTAGTGGAGTGTATTGCTGTGATGCCTATTCCGTATTTTTGGATCGGGCATTGCGTCGTTATATATTGTATGGTCTGTTCTGGATGACCACAGTCACACACTGGAGAGTTAAAATGTTTCTATTTGTGCATCAATTATCCGCATCTGCCATGATTTGTGCGGATGTGGTTTAGGGTGGACCATGAGCTTCATGGAAGATCACACCCAGAGATCTGTGTTGAGTTTTTCACAAGGTGTTTGTGAGTTATTTTAAACTCCATTCAGCTCTCCAGGCTTCATTAGGGTTGAATTCGCATTGTTGATGGTTAAGCGCATGGGTCCAAAAGGGTTTTCATGGCTTCAAGCAATGACGAGGTACGTTAGTGAGGTCCTGATAAATGGGAAGGTGGTGACTATTTTCCTCGATTTGCAGGACTTCCCGTCGGGTTGCAGTTTTGCGGCGGATGGGTAGGGGAGAGATGTGTGATAGCGTGGGCAGCCACAGTGTTGGGATCGACTTGAGGGTTCCAGTGATACACCGCATTGAAATTGTTCAGTTGGACATCAACAAGTCGAGTGTGACTACTATTTGTCCATACTGGTGCACAGTGTTTTGTTACAGAGTACTCAAGGGCCATAGTTGATGTTCGTAGCGCTGGTGCTCATGCTCCCAAGCTTGTGGTTGCCAGTTTCTGGACCAGTTTAACCCGTGTTTTTGTCTTGGAGGCTATCTTTTTCAAGTGGTCATGGAAGGTTAGCGTACGGTCCAGCTTCATTCTGAGATGTTGGAGTGGGGTCATGTTGCACATTGTTGCCGCAGAAGGTCACTTTCAGTGTGCTTGGTGCTTTAGTTCTCAAGATTAAATGCAGTGACTTGTTTTATGAGAATTTGGCTTTAGCCTCCATTTCCAGAAATATTCCCCCATGGTGTTTAGGTCTTAGTTCAGAGTAGATTCCATGTCGTTGAAAGTGGTTGCTTGCATTGCCAGGGAAAGGTCATTCGCGTATACATATTTGCATGACCCGGTTTTCGGCATGCTGCTCGTATAGATATTGAGCATTGGTGCGAGTATTGACACTCATGGCAATCCATTATTGAGAAACTGGGGTGAGCTGGCTTTGTCGCCCATATAGACCCGCGGTCAGCATCATCCTTATCAGGCATATTGTGTGAGTCAAGGAATGGTCCTTGTGAGCTTCAACATCAAGCCCTTAATCCAGACTGTCGTAGGCCGATGACAAGTCCACGAAGGCAGCGCCGGTCTTGGATTTTTTCTGTAATCTGGCCTCAATGTGCATCGCAAAGGCAAAAACTTTGTCACAGCAGCTGCGTCCAGGCCAGAATCCCGCTTGTTCTGCAGGTTCACTGACTCAACAAGGGGGCTGATTCTCTGGAGGATGATGCATTCCAGCCGTTTATAGATCGTGCACAGGAGTGATATCGATTTTTAGCTTCCCGGGTCTTCAGTTGGCTTCATAATGATGGGTTGAGTCACATCTCACTAATATTAAATGGCACATAATTGTGAATGTGTTGTTCTAACAATCGATCTGGCTCTGTATCCCAGTCACAATATAACATATCCTGTATTTGTGTTTCTGTGGTGTCCTCAGGAGTTGTTATTGAGAAAACATGAGAACATATCGATGGACTTTGAAGTAAACTTTGCTCCAGAGCTGCTGGAGGTTATAATGGAGGCCAGGCGTTTGAACCAGCTTGGTTTCCACATCCCAGAGATGACCTGCAATGCAGTGCTGCTGGAGGAAAGTCTCATCAGGTATCCTCGATTTTCTTTCTGCAGTTAGCTGGAGTACCTTTAATAATGAAATCAATCAAGTGTTTAGGTTTTTTGACCAATGCAATACACGTAATTTTTTCAGCCTATGTATTTCACAGTAGATCCTAATAAGTGTAATAGTAAAATGAACGATCTTCACAATATTAATAATTATTTTTAAATATGTATTGACGTAACAAAAATAATTACTGTATTGATATTTTATAATTCTTATAAAAGTTACCCTTTCGCTCGTTTACCTCTCAATGTCACTTCTACTTCTGCACAGCTAAGTTGTGATTTAAGTCTCATTCTGCAATCTTCATCGTGAGCATATTCTTGTGCACATTCTCTACTTTGGCTACCATTCCATCACTTGTAGTAATCATCCTTTTAGCGATGTCTCTGCTTTCTGTTTGTTCCCTTATTCATGTGCTCATTTTTCTGTCTGTACTATGTATACATAACCTAAATTAATTTGCAATATTTCAGGAATAAAGATGCCCTCAAAATGACTTTACAACATTATCGTGCCGTGCTGAACTCTATAAATGAAGCTGAATCTCAACTGCTGGACCAGCAGATTAATCAATTGCAAAGCATCTTGTCGCCAGGGCTCAATAGAATATTTTGGAACTCCCTAGGTAGGTTTTATCTGATGACCCAGTAATGGCAACCATCAGTTTTGCCCAAATATGTGACTTGATTGAATTGTTTTTACGCGACTTTCACTGTTCATGAACACTGCTCTTTTCTAACAGGAGTTAGAGACTACATTTCTCGTTTGAGACAAGCGATCGCCAAGTTTGAAAAACTTGTAGCACAAGTGCACAGAAATGCTTTCCTTATGGAATGCAAGTTAACAGCCATTAAGACAGCAATCTTGTGTAGAATTTCTTCTTCAATGCACGGGGAACTTTCAAGTGAGTATAGCTGCAGTGAATAAGGTGTTTTGGTACATACTGTGCTTTTTAGTTTCTCCCAATGTGATGTTTTTTTTTCCCACAGAGATACTTAAATGTTTTGTCAGATTATATATCTATATCCTGGTGTCATTCTTCCACATATCTACAAATATAAGCTTTATATAAAACGTGAGTTCTTTATTTCTAGTTATGACAAGTGAAAATTGTTTTCACTCACATGTAGTCTTCACAGAATCGTCATAACAAAAATTTCCAAAGGAGAAGAAGGAGCGATGGGACCTCTCGCACACACGTGCTCAGACACGCGCATGTTAATAAGAATAATGCTAGAAATATTAATTTAAGAAAATTATGAAAAGTACCTTTACAGCCAATAAGTTAAAAACATCTGATTTGCTGCAAATTGCTTGAGTCATACAGGACCATGTTTAAAGTAAATCCCAAAAAACTCCAAACAGCAAAACTAAAGCAACTTGTGAAAGAGCTTAAGAGCAGTGGGAGAAACGCCCTAAGCCGTTCTTCCCAGCTACCTTGTTTCAGTTCAGTTCTTGCAGTACATTTTTTTAGACACTGCTATGTTATTGGATGTATGGAGTCTTTGTTTTCCCACAGCTTGTTGACATAATATAACCAGAGTTTGAAGTGGTACACCTGATGTTCTATCATTTTGTCAAATGTCATGAAGTAACCAACCATGGGTAATACATATGAATGCAATAATTGCATGTGCGTTTACACTCTGGTATACTGCCTCTATCAAATCTGCATGTCACCAAGCAGGACAATATTGAACAGTGAAGAAATTATATTGTGATAATTTCCGAAGAGAATTGTTGATCGTCTGTGCCGAGTGGCAGGTGCGAGGGAGTTTTTTCAGTCCATGGAGTGTGAGCGACAGAGGGACGTGGAGCTGCTGCTGCGAGAGGTGCAGGCAATCGGCCCACTGCTGGTAAAGGTGGAAGGCCTAGTGGCCTTCACCAGCACGGGCAGGTCGCCCCAGCTTGCCAATTATTACACTTACTGGGAGAGACGAATCTATGATGCGCTCACAAGTATGGTGCTCAGGTACAGTCACCATTCTTTACCCTTTTCTTATAGTTTCATGATGATTGCTTTGTCTACTAAGGAAAGGCTACCCTAAGTCTCATAAATATTTTCGTGGGAATTCTGTTTGGCCAATTGAATGTCTTTTCAGATGTTGGAATGTTTGTAAAAGCTAGGTTTCATAGAGAAACCCAGGTATATAATTGGGAAAGAGTAAAAATGACTATTCTCTATGAGAATTTATATATATATAACTCTTGCCTATTTTTTCTTGCAGAAATTTGAATAACTATAATTCCAATTTACAGAGTGAAAAACCATTGTTTATTGTCCATACCATACCATCGTCACCAAACGTGGTGTTGCAACCTCTTCCTTATGATATCCATATCCTAGCCCTTAATTCAGCAAAAAACTGTCTGGCTTCAACTAAGGTACCCTAACACCACCTTAGTGACTGAACCAAAAAAGCAATGTAGTCAGAGTTTTGGTACATGCAGTGCTCAATTATATCAGATTTTTCATTGATGTTTACGTAAAAAAAATTCTGGCCCAACAGAGTTTTGTACGCTGGATGGATGGAACATGCATCGAAACACCGCCTCAGTTCATAGCCAATGAAGACGAACCTGTAGTTCTCAGCTTTTTCGACGACATCTCTCAAAACCCTCAGATATCGTTTCATCTCAGTCTCATCTCCCTCACCATGCAGCAGATTCTGCGGAATATCAACAAGTACCTCATCAGCTGGAAGAAGTTCAATACAATTTGGAAACTTGACCAGGTGTGAAGTGTTTGTTTGAGACAATCTTGTATTGCCAACACAATAGTTTTCAATGCTCCAATAACTTAACAAATGTTTCAGAGAAATACAAAGGAAGAAATGGGAATAGGACAGACTGAGCAAGGGAGTGAGATAAAATAAGACATATAGGTGGTCTGAAAGGATTATTGTGTCATGAGCTGCCGATTTATGAGGGTAACTTTCACCAGTCAATGCTTCTTTCTGTTTGTTGATTTCTGACTCCCCGTTATCCCCAGAACCTAATGCTGCAGCGGGTTGCAGCTAAGAATCCGAGTTGTGCGGTGTACGAAGGAAAACTGAAACTGTACTCAAACATGCGAGCCGAGATCCAGGCACAGCCCGACACTTGGGATGAGCATTGCATAAGGCTGCAGTTGACACCGCTCATCTCATCAATCGTGACCAAGTTGCACTCGGTGCAGATTTCTCTGAGCAGGATGCTCAATCAAGTCAACAGAAAAAACCTGTTTGACTTTCAGAATTCACTAATTGTGAGTGCAAAACGTGAACGGGGAAACATGGTGGCAGATTTTTTTTATTTATTTATCAGTGTCTAGCGTGAAGTACCCGGCGTTGGCCGGGGGAAAAATATATTTCAAAACGTCTCTTAAAAACAACACGTTCCTTCGGAGTGGGCAGGTAGGAACTTGGTTGGACAGCGCATTCGTGCGATCCGTGTTGGATACCGTAGTCGTGTTGGAAGTTGTAGCTGTTACTATTGCATCAGATGATGATTGTTGATTTATTGGTGTAGGTCTTTAAGTTCATGTAGCTGTTGCAGCAGGTTGCGCCTGTGCTGTGACGCCGCCTCCTGCGTGTACCACGCGCGCCAATCCACCTGACCTGGTCCTTGAACGGCCACGATGTTGTCGTAATGGCGCACCAGGTGCATGATGTTGAGCAGGGCGTAGACGCCACAGTCGTAGCCGTTCGGTTGCTGCGGCACAAGCACCGTGGTGATTGCCACGGTGGTGATCGCCACCGGCGTGCTCACCGATTCGGCGCGCACGACCCGGTCCACCACCGTGCTGGCGAAGGCCGCGATGTTTTTGGCGTTGCGCGACTGCCCGCACGCTGCCATTGAGTCTAACAGCATGGCAGTCGACCTTGTTGGGCACGTGGCGTTGACGATGACCAAGATCTGCCAGTGCGACTGGTCGTGGATCGGTATGATCCACACCGGCCTGGAAGACACGCCATCGATGACGCAATTCAAGTCGTCGAGATGGCCCGCCAAGAACTTTGTGTACAGGAATGTGTTGAACAGGTGGACGTATGCCGCTCGCGGCAGGCAGTAGAACTGCCCGAACAGGTTGATGATGGTGTCGTTCAACCACTGGCCAGGTTGTAAGCAGCGGAAGTCGTTCGGGAACAGCCTTCCGTACCCCGGAACGAAGACAACGTGTTCGACCGAGACAGGGGGCGGACAACGTGGAGTGACGCCGGGCGGAGGCGGGCTTGGTCGCTGCTTCACCGCCACAGCAGACTCTTGCGGCGTCGGAGTTGGCTCCTCTGGCCGCGACCGTTTTCTGCGCAGGATGAGCGGATCGGGCGGAGGCGGGCTTGGTTTGGACCTCCGCCGCTTCACCGCCACAGCAGACTCTTGCGACGTTGGCTCCTCCGGCCACGACCGTTTCCCGCGCGGGACGAGTGGCTTGCGAGCCTGTGGTCCCGCACGTGGTTGCCACATGCCGTTTTTGGCAATGTCCATTCGCCATTTCGTCAAATGTATATTTGGCCGCAACGTCTTGAGGTGCGCCTTCCGGAACGAGAGCGTCAAAGGAAAACAACGGAATCGACACGCCTGCCGTACGCGGCTGAACATCACGTACAGCAACTCGAATGACAGATTGGGGCTGGCGCGACTTGGCTCCAGCAGGGCGATGATGTACGCGAACGTCGCGCCCTGGCATTTCCATGTGGTGATTGCGAATGACAGGTCGACCGCGTGCATCTCGTAGGCGACCGTGACCTTTCCGATCCGGATCGTCTTCGGCAGTCCGATCGGGATGTGGACCGCGTCGACACCACCGTCAGCATTGCGCGGGACGACGTTGAGATGACGCGGCCATGCAGCCACATCGACCCCATGCACGGAGACGATGATATGGTCAGGCGGCATCGGAACGTCAATGATACGGCGGACGCCATTGTCGCCGCTGTCGCTTTGAGCACGTATGGCGGCGATGGTGGTGCGGCGTTCGTCCGCATTGTCCCACGTGACGGATACCAGCGTGCAGGGCGTGCCATTCGCGACATTGTAGACGATGTTGCCGTTGCCATTGTCGAGGATCTGGGCAGGGCAGCCAGCGACGAAGTACCCGAACAGCTCGGGATTGTCTTTCTCCTGGTAGAGCAGTGACTGCAGCGAGACAGGAACATCGCGCTTCAGGCGCCGACGCCACCGCAGAACGTGTCGACCCGTGGCAACGGCGACGTGTACAGCACGTGCAGCATTGATGACGGCCCGATCGCGATTGCTTGTCGTCAGGCACGTGGATTCCGTGAGCCAGGCTGGATCTGCGGCGATCTCGATCTTGGTAATCGGTGCCGTCAGGCCATCGATTATGTCGTCGGTGATGGGGCGGAAGGCGCAGTCGGCATCCGTCCAGCGGGTCCCCGTCGGGTAACGCCGCGGTAGCGCCCGCATCCCCTGGAGGCGCCGGCAATGATCCGGACAGCCAGCGGCCCGAAGCTGCTCAGTCATCTCGAAAACATGGAATCGCTCGAATAGGGAGCGCGACATCAGGTCTTCCGATGACACGGCGCCGTACATGACGCGATATAAATCGCGGCCGCATGTAACCGGCAGCTGTATGAAGTCGCCCACCAGGAGGATGGAGATGCCCCCGAAAACCAAACGCGGATTGTACATTGAGCGCAGGCGCTGGTCCAACAGTACGAGGAAGGCAGCCGGCAGCATGCTGACCTCGTCGATGATGACGAGGCGCAAACTGTCGCCGCCGATGACGTTGAAAATCAAGTCCACCAGCTGGCCAGCGTTCAGGTCCTTGACGAACGACTTCCACATGGCAGCAAAAGTCTGACCCTGGGGCAGCGGGCAGGCGCCGACGCCGGTGTAGCAGCAGCAGGCCGTTGTGCCGCCGCGTGAGGCGATTTCATCGGCGGTTTTGTGGATGCAGACGCTCTTCCCGACGCCACCACCGCCGTGAATCATGAGCAACTTCTGTCCGGGCACGTCGACGATTTCCGATGCGACACAGTACTGGCCATCGGTCAGAAAGCACGGCCCGATTTTGACCATGGCCTCGTCATGGAACATCGGATCTACAGGGCCGCCGTTTCTTCCATGGCCACTGGCGGCACCAACGTCGCGTGAACGGTTTGGTGCGGTTCGAGGGCATGGATCTGTTTGCGCATGTCGCTCAGCGACAGTCGGACGTCATCAGCGGCCCCCTCGCCGTGCAGCAAATCGTAGTTGTCGGGCGGGGCGTACACCGGCACCGACGGCGCCGGTCCATGGCTAGCCGCGAGTTGGTGGGCACTCACGAGAACGGCATCGTTGAAGAGCTCATCGCACGAAGCCGTCAGCTCCACATGGGACGCTCGTCGCTGAACATCGGGGCTGGCTGCTGCTGCGGTTAGCTCGTACATCTCCGACGGACAGAGACGACCCGCGTGCTCGGCATCCCCGTCCCCATCGGCGTTGTCAGGTCGCAGGCCAGGGCCCCTGGACTTGCCAATGCGGACGGTGGCCCAGTAGTCGGCATTGCGCTGCCTCCAGAGACTGGTGATCAGCTCATTGCGACTGCTCCGATGCCGCTTCGACATCAGGTGGTAAAGAGACCGAGCGCCGATCCCATGCATGAATCATCTCGGCGAGACCGTCGCCGTTGCGGGCGAACCGTGGCTCGTCGGCACTCTGCCATGGTACGAGCAGATCCAGGATGTATTTGGCGAACGGTTCGAGATCGCGCTTCCATGCAGAGACTCAAGCGGGATCGTCGGGTTTGTTCCCCGGAAACGACGGCGGCGGTCGGCCGGCGAGAACAGCGGTACGCATCTTGAGGCGAATGACCGCGTTATACTCAGTGAACAGAGGATGTTTGGGCCCCAGATCAAACACGTGCCGACCAGGTCGACCCGCCCCGGCAGGCTGAGCCGCAGCAAGGCGCTGCTTGTTAGGGACCAGCTCGACGATGCTCTCGAACTCGAGCGCCGAGTATTCGGCAAAGTGAATCCCGCGGTTGTCATACGATTCGGCCTGCGACATGAAGACGACTTTGCCGGACGGCAGCTTGTACGCCGTCGCACCGCCGACGCTGCCATCGCCCTTATCATCAGGATGGACAGCGAACACCAGGGCGTCCAGGGCCTCGTCGACGAACTGGTCGTCATCGACAGGCGGGTCAACGTCAGGCGCCAGAGGATCGTCGTTTTCGCCGTCCTTGTCGATGGCGCGATCCAATTGCCGATCGACGTAGGCGACAGCTGCGTGTGGGAAGACGTACCGGAATGTTTCTGTCTGGACTTCTGACGTGGCGCCCATCAGGGCATGTACCATCAAGGGCATGGACCATTGGTGGGCGCCGGTGAACGCGTTGACCGTCCGCGACGCCAAGTGCTTCCCCGTGCGGTGTGCCGTGCCTGTGTCGTCGGCCACGCTTGGGTGTTGCGCAATGTCGTCCAGGGCGGACAGGAGCACAGCAGCGGCCTGGCGCAAAGGAGCGCCCTCTTTCGTCATATACGCCGCCTCGTACTCCTCGACGGCTTCGCCGGCATCCTGACTGCTAATGACGGACGAGTTGTTGTGGCAACCGACCAGATTGGTCGTGATCAGGTTCGATTCTACAAGCATCGCATCGGTCGCAGGGCGCCGCATTTCCCATACGATCGGGCCAACAGGATGCGGGCGGATGAGCTGGCCACCCAACGGGTCGTTCGGGCCGTCAATCATGTCCAGCGTTGCTTGATCGACGGGCAGGCCGACCAGAATGGCACGCTGATTGTCCTTGTGCTCCGGGCGCTTGTGCATAGCGATCATGAGAGGGCAGGTATGCTCTTCATGAACGCCACGTGGCATGCACAAGCGGCACATATACAGGCCCTTCGGTGGCTTTTCGCAGGAAAATCCATGTTTGTGGTGCTGCGACAGGGCGGACTTGCGTTGCCCCACGGCGACGAACTCGCCGTAGTGGGCCATCGCATCCGGCACATTCAGGTCGGCAGCGCGCGGGCGCGCGACGTTGCTGTCTTGCGCGACAATCCCGTCACACCACTCGCGCACAGCAGGAGCCAGGTGTGTACAAGCCGTACTGTCGAGAATGTTGCCGATGACAATCTGAACGTCGGTTGGCGCGGCAGCCAACCGAGTTAGTAGCGATGGCGTCAGGACCGAGCTGTATGTATTCAGATGCCAATGCAGCCGTCCGCCCTTCTGCGGCTCAATCACGCCGCTGACGGCGGCAATATTGAGATACGCGCCGCGCTCCCGCTGCAAGTAGTCACGCGAGACGCGAGTATGCGCAGC